ACAGAATTCTTTACAGCTACTCAAGAGCAGGCATCCATGCCCGGGTCTCTGGATCTAGCTTGGCCTTCTAACTGGCTTTGCCACATAAAGAACAGTATGTGGCTTCCAGATCTAGCCGCGAGATGCCTTTGCCCTGGCTTGCTTACATGTGCAGAATGGTCAAGTGAGGCCCAGACTCACACAAGAGACTCATTGTTTAGAAGGCCAAGGTATGAATGAGGGCCACTGAGACCGCCACACCCAGGGTAAGCCACCAAATAATAGGAACCATGTGAGGGGAGGAGTTGTCCAGGTGAGACCAATAGAAGGCCCAAATTTCTCACTTAGAGAATTGTGAGCAAATAAAACATATGGTCTGGCTAAGGCACTAAGCCATGGAATAGTCATATAATAATAGGAAACTGATACTAGGTAATAACTGGACTTAGAACACCTCTTCTTTTATCCAAAATCCAGACAGGTGTGGAGGCATACATGTAATCTCAGCCTCCGGAAGGCTCAGGCAGGAAAACTATAGTTCAAGGTTACCCTGGATTGCATAAGAAAACCCTGTCTTGAAACGAAGAACAAATTCAAAACCCATTAGGTCACACAGTCTGAACATAAAAGGCCTCTCAAAGTTCCTTATGTATCTAGCTTTTTATCTGTTTTTTAATAAGGGTATTTAGACTTGTTACAATTTTTCTCCCCTGGCACCAAGGTTCCAATTCAGGGCCTTGTGCCTGGTATGCAGGTACTCTACCACTTGAGCCATGTTCCTCATTGCTTTAATTACTTTTCGGGTAGGGTCTCACATCTTTGCCCAGGCTAACTTGGGCCACAATCTTCCATGAAGCCAGGATGACAAGGCAGGCACCACACGTGGTTGAGAAGGGTCTTGCTAACTTTTTGCTCAGGCTGTCTTCAAACTGCCATCCTTCTGAAGTCTGCCCTCCTGAGTACCTGAATTACAGCTGGGCAATATGGTTAGCTTTAAAGGTTTGCCTCATATATCACCTGAAAAGAGAGAAACATCTTACTTTTTTCCTTTCTAATTTAAATTATTTTCATTTCTTTTTCTTGGATAATTCATCTGGCTAGTACTAACTCTAATGAATACAATGGTGGAAGCAGGCATCCTTGTCTTGTTCCTGACTTAGAGAAGAGCCGTTTTGTCTGTTTATTGACTGTGATGTCAAGGATGGCTGTGGGGCTATTCTTACTGTCATTATAAAGGTGATGTACAGAAGGGTTACAGTTACGCACATCAGGTCATGAGGTATATTTCTTTTTGGACAATGTCACCCTTGCCTTTGTTCTCTCCCAGTTTTTCCCTCCCATTCCCTCCCACAAGTTGTATGGTCTAGTTTCAAGATAGTGTCTGGTGAGGACCACTGCTGAAACTGTTCACCCTTTGTCCTTCCATTTCTGTGCTCCCTTTACCTTTCACAAAGACAGAGAAACAAACAAGATGAAAGAAAGGAAAACAAAACGAGCAAGAAAACCCTGTTCATTCCATTTCTTGGAGTTCATTTTGACAAATATTATTTTATATAATCAGAGGCACAGAGGCGCTGTGATTTTGTGTTTCCCCTTAGAATATCCTCCTTCGGTCTCATTGTGAATGCCTAGAGTCCTATATAATTTATCATGTCTGGCTGTATTTAGATCTAGCTTCCACAAATGAGAGAAAATATGCACTGACTGTCTCTCTGAGCTTGGCTTACCTCACTTAACATGATTTGGCTGAGGGATTTTTATGTATGGTGTTTATTATGCTGAAGAAATTATTTTTGTCATTCCATTTTATCACCATGACTGCCTTAATAGTTATGTGTCTTTTACTAAAACTTCGTAAAGGTTATCATAGGACTTATAATATACATGCTGAATTTATCACAATCTACCCTCAAATAATATTATCTCACTTTAAATGTACCAGTGAGAATTTTATCTTGATATACTGCTAATCCCTCACTTCCCTTGTTCCATTATTGCCACACATTTTTAGTTTTGCATACAAACTCTCCCTTGAGATGAACAAGCCATATCTACTTAGACAATCTGCTTGAATGTCTAACAGGAGATAACTCAAACACAGCTCAATTGTTCCTGTCCCAACTTCCTCCTCACTAAATCAAACCAGTGCCCAACTTGTCTCCAAATCCCAGGAGTAAAACATCATCTGCTGCTTCTTTCTTAGCACATTTCCAATCCATCAGGTATTTCTTCTGCTATCTTTGAAATGTTAGGTTGAATTATATGAAAGTTCCAGCAGTTTAATACAGTGCAACCTAACATATCCTGAATCTTTCCATCTCTTCATCCCCAGGACTCAAATTCACCATTGTCTCTTGCCTGGATTACTTTAAGAGACTCCAAACTAACCTCCGAGCCTTCACCCCTATCTAAAGGCTATTATCCCATAACTACCGGAAGGAACCTCTTAAACACAAATCATATTCCATCATTTTTGTGATTCTAAGCCTCCAATAGGTTTATAATACAATTACTGCTAGACTCAAAACACAGTATGGTTTACAAAGCCCCACATAATTTGGCCCCTATCTATTTCCTATCACCCTCCCTCTATCATTCTAGAGTTCAGCCACAAAGGCCTTCTTGCTGTCCCCTACTCATACCAAACCATTTTTTTCTCCCATGACCTGCTATATGCTGTTCCCTCTTGCTTTCTCTCTGGATAAAGACATAGTGACAAGGTAGTTATCTACAAGGCAGGAAGAGCCTTCACCAGGAAGTGAACCTTCTAGACCTTGATCTGGAATGTCCAGCTTCCAGAACTGTGAAATAAGATGTTGTTGTTTAAGCCAGACATTCTGTGCTGTTTTGTTCTGATAGCCTAAGCAGATCAGTACAGAGAAATATCCAATTCAGCCAGCAACATCAACATTCAATTTTTTTCTAATGACAAGTAAATCAATGTATATTTTAAAAATTCTACTGTGGAATACCATAATACGTCAGGAAGGTAGACATGTTTGCATTTGCATATACTAGCTCTGCTCCGCCAGCACAGGCTCTGCACATACCATTTCCTTTGCCTGATGGTCATTGTTCTCTTCCTATCATTCACACCTGCTCGTACACAGATGTCCAGTGAGCCACACATCCTGTGGATTTCTTACACAGGTGAAATACCTACCCTGATTATGAGCTCGTAAGTCACAATGCACTTCTCCTTCTCAGACTTGTCACTATCACCCATTCATATCCATTTGTGAGATGATCTGATTTAACACTGGATTAAATGCTTCATGAAAGCAAGGCCACATATATTTTTATCCCACTGGGAATTCCCAGTATCTACAAGGTCTGGACTATGAAAACATTTATTGAAAGAATAAATGCATAAATTATTTCTAGGATCTCACAACTTCAAAATTATATTCCTTCTGAATGAGCTCAGAGATTTTTGGCCCATTTGAATGTGCATTATGCTGTAGAGCCGCCTGCTTATGTATATCTCCAAGACCGCGATTCTATTTCCTAGCTACACTCAACAACCACCACTACTGCAGTGCACACAGACTCTGTTATCCAACGGGAAAAGACAGATGGCAATCACTAGGCTACAGACAAAATATATTGCCTTGCAATATAATCTCTATTGAAGGATGAGTATCATTGATTAATAAACCCTCTGCTCACAAGGTTCCTTTTAATAAGGTGTGTCTATGGAGGGTCTAGAAATCAGCTCAGTGAGGAGCCCCCATAATGGGCATGGAGGAGTTGCAGGTGCCACTTCATTCCAGTCTGGGTCTTACAGTGCACAGGTAATGAATACTTAATGTTTATTTCCATAGGATCTTTTGTTTGGTACTGTCATGTTTCAAAGAGTACATTACAGCTTTTTTAAAACTAGGGTAGAAAACAGGTTCACTCGTCTAATTAAAACATCAATAATAGATGTACTTCTCAGAAAAAGGAGCTAGTTCATTCAAAGTACATTATATTTATATGGAAGATGATTCCATTTCACTTTCTTCTTTGTATAGGCTATGAAGTCATTTTCAATTATTTTAATGTTAATGAGACTGTTCTAATGTCTAGTGAGACTATTTTAAACTTATTATATTTAAATTTGTCATAAATTCTGAAAATGAAAGAAAACCTGTGTGTTTAAGTATTTGTAATGTAAAATGGAACTTACTTTTTGCTTAATTTCCAAAATAGATCATATAAGCTTATTACCTTAATCACACTCTAGAATATCCACGTATTATTTTGTATTTCGAGGAATATGTTGGTTTTATTACACCATTTGTGTTACAAAGTATCTTACTGCTCAATATATTACATTATTTCTGACATGAATTTATAACTTCTGAAATAGAAATTGGTTTTTTTTTTTTGGGTCTGGTCATGGGGCCTGAACTCTGGGCCTGGGTGCTGTCCCTCAGCTCTTCAGCTCAAGGCTAGCACTCTACCACTTGAGCCACAGCGCCACTTCCGGCTTTTTTTCTTTTTGTTTATGTGGTGCTGAGGAATCAAACCCAGGGCCTCAGGCATGCAAGGCAAGCACTCTACCACTGAGCCACAAACACAAGAATATATAGATTATAAAAGAATTACTCTCAAATTATTAAGAGATCCAAAGGGAAAATAAAAAGTTTATTCATTAAAACAGAAACCCTGGACAAAACATGTGGAGACCAGAGAGGGATGGGTTCTGTTGGGGGGGTCCTTTGTGCCAAGTGTAGGGCCACAGCCCCCCCTCAGGACACATCATCCCATTCCATCTTTCTTTTACACTCTATTTACTGACCCAAAGCCTTCAATATGTTAGACAGAGAACCTTTCAGAAGTGACCTCATCCTCTCAGAGAAATCAATCTTTTGAGGGAAGAGAGATATGGCAAGTTTCCTCATTATTTCAATGTTCAAATGCTCAAGCTTAGGAGACCAGGCTTTACTAAATGCCCTCATCTGCACTATAATGATAATCCATCCCATATGCAGAATAGTTGTGGGCTGTACCAGTACATATGACGATTCTATTACCTGAGTAGGACTCTGAAGACTCAAATCCAACCCACAAGTAAACTCCGTGTGATGCTCCACAGTTTCAAGAAGAGGGTCAGGCTTTGAAACATTCCAGAATCTGTGAAGATAAAAAATAATAATAATAAGACAAACTTAATGGTTAAAACTATTCCTATAAATTTATAATAAGAAACAATAGATATTTGAAACATTAAAGATTTTACCAAAATAGGCTCAATCAATTAATAAAGAGCCTTTTTACTCTTATTAAAGGGAAAATATAGGGAAAAACATGTACTCCATCCTACTGGATCTCAAATCAACATAATTACTGTTAATATACCTTTGTAAAAGATGATAGTATTCCTATTAGAACACCTTCTAAGATCTACAGTCTGCCAGGCCATGGACTGGACATGAGACACTCACTATATGCCTGCCTTCCTGGCAGTTCTGAAGGCATTCATGCTGATAAAACACGAATATTGGATTTGATGAACTCTTAAATACTTTGTGGCTTCAAATTCTACTTCATTCCTCAAAAGGTAACATGAAAAGATCTTAGGTTCAATTTACATATCAACAGCAATTCAAGTTCTTTAAAATATACCTGTTCTGTGAAAATGTCTGTAATTCTGAGACCGCATTTATTTTTTGATGAACAGCTTTTCTCATAGACTGCACAGCGAAGTAATTCCCAGAGTCAAGGAAAACAGAAACATGTTTTCATGGGTAATATTATATATTCTACTTTTCCTTTACAGACTTTAAGTGCTAATATTTACCATAATATAGCTCTGATTTCTACTGTTCAGAGAATTTGTCTCTATTGTCAATAGACAAAATAGTATTTTAGCTTTCTAAAGCTTTATCTGCTCATCATCCTTTTTATTTGACTCTAAACACACTTTAAAATGACATATTCAGAATCCTAGAGTCATACCCTGATTCAGCTTTTTGAATGATGTACAACAAGGAACACACAGAAGGTTGGGCAGATCCTTTTGAAAAAGAGCAAACACATAGAGCCAACAGCCATAGTTTGTTTAACCTGGAGGTATTATTTCCCTAATAAACACAGAGTTAGCCCTATTAAGATTTGAAAAGGACTGTTGCTATGGGTAATACACTGTGTGGATGCCATAGAAACACTGGATAAATAGCTCCTTTATCAGAATACTGAGACATAGGGAATATTTAGGGGGAATGTTTTACTTCTGAAAGTGAACCTTTACAAAGGAAGTAACAAGCCACAGGCCTTCTAGGAAATCCTAATGGTGGTTGGTCTCCATTGCTTTTGTCCATTTGTTTCTAGACAGTGAATGCTGCCAAGATCTAATTTTCTGGTTTCTGATTACACTATGTAAACAAAAGTAAACATGTAATTGTATAATCTAATGTGTAAGATCTGGTTAGGCACTGATTTGCATTATTCAAATAATAATCAAGTGATTTTGCATAGATCCACTACATCCCCAAAACTCATAATGGTTTTAAAAATAAGCAATTTAATATGGCAAAAATGAGTTAAAAGAACATTAAGGGGAAGAAAATAAGTTGGAACCTTCAGTGATATTGTTAAAACACATGCCATAAGATCGTGATGCTAAGCTTTTCTGCAGCCAAAGAATAAAGGGAAACACAACAAGACCAGACTCAAAATCCATAGGCACATCCTCCTACAACACTATGAAAGCATGATCCCTGAGAGGTTATAGACAGGAAACCCTCTTCATGTGTAATGAAAAACCTCAATATCATACAGGTACACGTAAAAATGTGTCACCAGTGCCACCTGCCAGGCAATGGCATTTCCCAAAAGGACAGGTTAGTAGAACCATTCTATGAGACAGTCAGTTTGACATAATACAGTGTCCAGTTCTTTGAATATCTCGGGTGCAGTTTTATTTCAGTAGAATACGTGGGCTAAATCCTCTTTAGGTAAACCATAATCACTGACTTTTCACTGGAATTTTTTTTTTCCGTTGGTCATGCAGCTTGACCTCCAGAGGCCTGGGCACTGTCCCTCAGCTCTTCAGCTCAAGGCAAGCACTCTACCACTTGAGCCACAGCACCACTTCCCATTTTCTGGTGGTTTATTGGAGATAAGAGTCACACACTTTCCTAACCAGGCTGGCTTTGAACCATGATCCTCAGATCTCAGCCTTCTGAGTAGCTAGGATTACAGGATGAGCCACGGGCGCCCAGCTTCACTAGAACTTTTTAAGGATAATAAATAGCAGCAAGTTCCTGGAATGCAGTTTCTGTTACAGTTATGTTGATTCAGTTAAGGAAAAGCTGCTCTGAGAACAAGAAAAGCAGTTCTCGTGGAAATGAAGATGCCTAACAAGTACACACATGTGAGGCCAGCCAAGTTCAGCATGAAGGTGTGAAAAGGGAAGCCACTGCTCACAGGAGGCTGGGCTCATTTTCACTAAGTCCATTTGGTCTTATTCTATACATAGCTAAACAGGCCACGGAGAGTTCTAAACCTCAGAGTTAAGTTGTGGCCATCACAACTTTAACCTTGGAAAAAATATCAAGTGTTAGTGTGCATTTTACAAAAAAAACTAATAAACAATATGCATGTTAAAACTCCAAGGACCCTTTATGGTGGATGGAGAGTTAGTCTAGCAAATGTCATAAAAGCTTTTCTGGACATAATAACAATTCTGATACAAATTATATAATACACAAAATACATAGTGCAAAAAGTACAAGAGGTTCATTTCCAGTGGAAGGGCCCACAACATACAGACTTAGTTCAACCTTTTAAAACAACTACAAATCCCAGATAAAACACCAACAACCACAAAATCATTCACACAAGTATCCATGAGAAACATTCCGGTAAAAAGGAAGTGAAGGGGCTGGGAAGGTGGCTCAGTGGTAGAGCGCTTGCCTTGCATGCTTGACCCTGGGTTCGATTCCTTAGTACCACATAAGCAGAAAAAAAAATCCGGAAGTGGTGCTGTGGCTCAAGTGGTAGAGCGCTAGCCTTGAGCTGAAGAGCTGAGGGACAGCACGCAGGCCCAGAGTTCAGGCCCCACGACCGGAACCAAAAAAAAAAAAAAAAAGGAAGTGAAGACTGGAGCCCAGAGCAATAAACAGGTCAAGCCTTTTCTTGACCACATTTGCTAAACATGGAGAATGGAAGCTTTCATATTCTTAAATTGAAAGAGATCAGGACCAGGAAAGTCAGGAAAAAAACCCATATTAATATGTAGGATTTTAAAATATTTTTAGTATTCTAAAGTATCTTATAAAAATATTTTAAGTACTGTAAATTACACAAGCTAAATAGGTTGAGAAAACTAAAAGCAAAGCAGTATTGTCACTATAGTATTTCTTTGTTGGTAGTACTAGGGTTTAAACTCAGCATGCCAGGTGGGAAATCTAGAGTTTAAGCCATGCCTCCAGTCCATTTTTGCTCTGGTTATTTCTAAAATAAGGTCTCACTTTTTGCCCAGGCCAGCCTGAACCATAATGCTCCTTCCGGTTCCTGCTGTAGCTGGCATGACAGGTGCATGCAATCATGCTTTTTCTGTTAAGACAGGGTCTCGCAGATTTTTTTTTTTACAGGCTGGCCTAGAACCACGATCCTTCTGATCTCAGTTTCCCACACTGCTGGGATGACAAGCATGTGCCAACTATTGGTTGAAATAGGATCTTATGAACTTTTTGCCCAAGCTGGTCTCAAATCACAATCCTCCTCACTTCTGCTTCCCAAGGAACTAAGAATACCATGTGAGCCACTGGCACCTAGTCAATAATTTACTCTTAATTACCAATGGCATTTAAGCACAAAAGAAACAGATGTACTTTTCTCCTTACTGCCACTCCAACAGCAACCACAGTTCACAGTTTGATGAGTACACTTCTGGGACGTTTCCTCATGTCTCCACTCAAGTTCCACCAGGAAAGAAAGTGTTGTAAGGAGACATTTGGATGGGTGTTTCTCTGGGTTTTCTCTCTTGGCAGGGAAGGTAGTGGACAATGTGTCTCCTTGCAACCTTCTCCTGAACTCGAGTCCTCTAACTGAATATATTGGATAATATACCCAATATTATATAATCGAATATGTTGAATAACTATCCAATATAATACATATTAATATATTCAATAGAATGTAATTTAATTTACATATATAAAATAGGGGATATATATGTATACATATATAATGGTATATATCATTAAACACAATAAGCAAAAGAGACACAGCTACAGCCATCCCACATTCTAGTCCCAGTAGAATAGACTGACCTGAGAAATAAAAGAGGGGACTTGGGAATAATGAACAATCGTGGCTCAAGGATCACAAGAAATCCTGCCTTATAATTTGGGTATATTATATATATATAATTATATATATATGTAGTTATATTGAACATATTATTCAATGTATTCAATCATATTGGATATATTATAGATATATAACCCATATGGATCTATATAGATAAGTATAGATATAAGTATCTTTTTTTTTTTTGGTCGGTTTTGGGGCCTGAACTCTGGGCCTGGGCGCTGTCCCTCAGCTCTTCAACTCAAGGTTAGCGCTCTACCACTTGAGCCACAGCGCCACTTCTGTCTTCTTTTGCTTATGTGATGCTGAGGAATTGAACCCAGGGTCTCATGCATGCAAGGCAAGCACTCTACCACTGAGCCATCTACCCAGCCCCTAAAATGCTCTCTTTTTTATTGGGAGAAGTCAGTCTACATATGTCGTTAAGTGAGCAAAGAAGACATTATTTTAAAGTGAAATGTCTGTTTGGGTCCAGCATATATACTTCTTGGTGCCTTTCTGTCTCTGCTGATGAAATCACTGACTATTTAAGCTGTCTGATAGGAAGTAATGTACTGTGATTACAAAGTATGACAGAACTATAAGCACATTTTTCATTTAAATTGGAGAATATAATACAAAGTCTTAATTGAGAAACTTTTGCTTTCTGATACCACAATTCTTAAACAAAACAATGATTCAGGACTGTATTAATATCAAAATGATTTTAAATATAAGTCTGAACAGTTTGAAAATTTATTTCAAAAATTAAGCTGAAATTATCCTACTACAGTAAGATGTAATTTGAAATTTCACTTTTGATATTTAGCCAATGG